TGATCTAGACCCCACGGCCCCAATCACTTCCAACATACCTCCACGAGGAGGCTCAAAGAGAGCCCCAACATTGGGCGAAACGCGCCAAGATGGAGAAGGATATGCCCCAGGAATGCCTGAAGATCGCCGAAGATTTGCACAAACCTGCCCAAATTTGACCACCAACTGGAGCAAGCTTTCATAAGCAATAAAGCTATCACAAACACCTTTCTTGCACTTGTCCAAACCTTTGCGATGCTGGTTATGTTCCCTGCAAAGGCTGCAGTATTGACATCATGGGTGTGCTCGTCAGGAGCAAGCTTTCATACGCAAACAAATGATAAAAAGAAGCTCTCAAAAACACCTTCCTTACACTTGTGGGACCTCATGTTTCATGGTTTTTACAGTGCTTTATGCACATTGCACTTCAAAGCCTTCGAAGGCGAGATAACAAGATAAACCTCAAAAATTGCCTCCCGTGCAGGTAAAATGCAACTTTTTGAAGGTAAATAAGCTCAACACAAACCCATCCAAAGCCACTGTTTACTGTAAATTACAGTGTTTTATGGACCTTCGAACATGCCAAAAAAAGCCCGCACCCCCCACCCCCCCTTCCCTTTCGGTAATACTTCCAAGCGCTACAGCGCTTTCCGTCATCACCTTGCTCCACCCCTACTATCATCCGTCCTTGACCCCACATCAATGGGTCTACCGCAGGATCTATGATCCAAGGGGGGCCCAGACCTCTTTGAGGGCTGTGAAGTGACATGATTTCGACCTGTCCATGAATTGGGAATACCAAAGGACCTCAGTTGCGATGGCAAGGCTGGTGCCACATCCCAGGTGACAAGGCTGATCCTCCCAAGGCCTTCCGTCGATTCCCAAGCTTCGTGCCACTGGTTACCGGGGCACGTGGCAGTCTTTGCTAAGCAATAGCCTGATGCACGGCGAGAGCAGTCTTGCGTGAGCCATGCAGGGAATGGGTGGAGAGATGCCAATGGTGCCAATGCTATATATGTACTTATTGAAGGAAGTGCTATCTTGATGTTTGTCATGTGGCGAAGGGGGCAGTAGTTAGTTTCGTTGAGGACATGCACCGTGTTTTCGAGAGCACGTTGCCTGCCATCATGGCCTGTGAAACAAGAGCTTGTACTTCAATGACATCGTTGATGTGGGGTAGATGTTTAAGCGACCGCCATAGCCCCAAACAAAAATACCTCCAGGTCCCCAGTCCTTTACCCTAACTAATCTTTGCCAAATGCGTGACTAGGGAGATATCATTCACATCATCCTGCAAATGATAGACCGTTTCCTGCATCATAGCGTGTCAAATACACCCCTGGCCAATCTATTGGGTAGTTACCTTGGACTGAAGATCGTCAAGATGTCCGGTCTGGCCATCACCAATCATGGGCAGGAACCCAATCACCAAAGAACCCTGAACGACTCTGTGTGTGTGTGTGTGTATGTTCGACTCTAGGTTGGGTCTCCTTGACTGCTTTCACTCCAAATTTTGGCCAGCAAAAGGCTACCCTCTCAGGTCTATAGACATGCACTTGTGCAAATGAAATCGAAGAATGATTTGACGGATTGTCTCAAACTGCAGGTGGTATCCGCCCAAGTGGCTCCGCAGCGCTCCATGAGACACCACACAGCCCTTCGGACGTCCGGTCGACCTGCGCAGAACTCGGTCGACCTTCGTAGGTGACTCATGGTTTGGGGGCCTCAACGTGACCGGCAAATCCGGATCTGTGTGAAAAAGCCAGGCATCCAACTGTCCATTTGATTCTGAGAGACAGCTTGACTCAGATTGACAGGATCAACACCGTCTAGTCGTCTAGTAGTCTTCTGTCTCATCCCAGTGCGGGCCCCGAGGTGAAGAAGATGTGTGAGATGGCAGCGCCAGGCACCTGCACAAACATGTTGGCATCAAGATATGCCAAGTGGTCACAAATATGAAGAAAAAACAAAAAAATACAGTAAGTATGCGGATAAAACCAGGGCACTGAGGAAAACACGGTGAGAGGGGTTCGTGCAAAAAACCTTTCTACCGGAGTCCACCACCAGGGTGCACGATAAGCAAACACTTGCTTGCAAAACCGTTGCGGCCACAGGAGATATTGGCTTCGGATGCAAAATGCCTGTTCACCCACCGCGAGAGCATCCACGAGTGTCAAAGTACCCTCATCCTTGTCAACTTGTTCAACCCCAGCGTGTATTTATTCTATCATCAGATAAGATCAAACGGGGTATTCATCTAGTGCGCCAAAGGTCCCAAGTTCCTCTGAGTCTGGATGGTAATGGATGTGTCATATCGATCTATTCGATAGTGCATTCGTATGCTGCTTCAAAGACTCTGCTTGCTTGCAGCTTGCGTCACAAGAAATGCGTTGAGCAAATCTCACTTCTCGCAGGCGCCAGGCGCAGTTGACGCAGCATTGTTTTCCAATCTGAGGAAGGCCAGGCAATCAAAGCACCTGCAAAGCAAGTGAAGGAAGGACTGAGGATGTTGTGTGTGCTCCCTAATTTGACTCCATCTAGTGAGACATTCTGCCAGGAAGATATTCTCAGAATGCCCTTCTCGTACTGCTCTCTTTAGAATATTTTAGAATCTAGAGTAACCTGTTGCGTTGCTCGTGTCCCTGGTTGGACACATTAGCGTGGTTGATCCCACCAAGAAAGTAAACCTTCAGCCAACGCATGGAATATGGACTAGATGAACGACTGACAGTTCTTCTATATACACAATTTGGACCCGTTGGGCAATGAGCATGTCTTGCGGTAGCTTTCAGCTGGCTATATAAATCCTTCTATTCAGTTTTCAGAAGGGACCATTCGTCCACTTGAAGTTTCACTTGGAACAATTACGCCGAACGGCCTGGGAACTCGCCCGGGTTCCCCGTGTTTCCAGCGTTGGAGGGTGGCGCCAGGAGCCTCCACGGCCGGGATCTGCCGGAACTTCTCCTAGCCAGGCCATAAATACATAGACACACACCAAAAAAAAGACTTACACAGACCAAAAATGTAAAAAGGAAATGACTACTAGTTGCCTACTCATGCACTTGACATTGCCTGACTGTTCTTTTGTGGGGCATCAATTACTTACCCACCACTTGTCTTTTTTTCATGATACAAACCCTTGTTTGCCTTGTCTGCGGCGTTCATCCTGAAAGTGAACGTCACATTCTTCAAGTCCAGTGGATCGAACGTCACGAGTAACAAAGGGCATTGCTAGCAAGGTTCGCTACTAGGGGCTCCTGGCATCGCTACTAGTAGCAAGGACGCTACTAGGGGCTCCTGGCCTTGCTACTAGGAACAAGAAGCTACTATAGGGGCTCCTGGCATCGCTACTAGGAGCAAGGACGCTACTAGGGGCTCCTGGCCTTACTACTAGGAACAAGAAGCTACGAGTAACAAAGGGCATTGCTAGTAGCAAGAAGCTAGTTAGCAAAAATGACCCTCCGGATGAAGGATACAAAGTTGTATCAGTTGTATCTCAAAGTTCTGCAGTGGACCATTGCTATTAGTTGGAGGCCGTCGCTTGCTAGGTTGGTCTAAATCAATAGCAAGTCGTGTAGGGGATCATTGCTCTATGAGTCTTCTTTGAAGCGTTTGAGGCTTCCAGTTGCCAAGCTTCTATAACTTGCTGGGCAGCAAATTCGCTTAGTCCCACTGCCGGATCGGTAGACACCAAACGGCCCTCAGGCGTGGAAGTGAGCGGTGTGAGATGCCACATCGAGAGACGGCTCATGCAAGCAGGAACCCCGAACGGTTCAGAAGCTCACTCCAATAAAGACATACAACACTGTAAGTCTTCTTACAGGCTTTCCTGCTCAATCTGAACTTGCACGGGGCACATGTCCATACATACATGACTTCTATAGAGGCAACTGCCTTTCGAAACAGGAACATGTTCGCCAAAACAAGTCACTCTCTGTTTGATGTAGAAACTTCAGCGTAGTTCATAGAAACATCTCTGTAGTTGGGAGCCTGTCCAACCTGTCACAGGAACCAACTTGTCACAGAAAATTCTGGGGATCACGGTAGGTCCGGCCCACTTAACGTTGAATGAATTCTTCACAAAGAAATGAATGGCCCCTTACACTTCTGCTGAGCATGGCTTTCTGGTCGGCTTTCTAAAGGGTAGCGACTCCGAAAATCTTCGTTAGAAAGGAGGCTGAGTGTCTTGTAGAACATCTCCACACAGGAGCTGATCGTCATCAAGGACCACAAAGGCTTCGACATTTTTCGCATTCACCTGACACACTTGGATCACAAGGCGGATCAATTGTCAAGGTCAAAATTCGTCAGGATGGGGATGCAGTGGCCCACGAAAACTGCTCGAGCTTAGCTTAGAGGAACTAGTTTTTCTTGGTCAAGTTTCAATGTTCACATCAACAATATGAGTGAACATAACCAAAGTGCATGAAATGCAACATGTGTTGATAAGCATTATCAGCATCATCAACCTTGTCAACATGTGTTTGAATTTTGAATCGGTTGGCTCATGCAGAGTATTATGTTAAAGAATTAGTCAAACTGTTGCTCGTGGCCATCCCCAGCCTCCAACCATGTACAAATCTCATCCAATCTCGATCTGCTTTCTGATGTTGGTGTGGTGCCATGGATAACGACCTGCCACTCTGCCAAAAAACCCTGCATATAGCCATACATGTACTTGCACATGAAGATTGAAACACGTCTGGCGGAATAGGGATTCATCTTTGAACCAACACAACGTGCTATGCCCACTCACGGTGAAAGGGAACGAATCAAGAAATCAACATGTTTTGTTGGATGATGTAATCTGTGGCAATCGGGTGTGAAACCAAATTGGTTGTGGCATGTCAACCAAATGTGTTGAGCCTTCATGCAGCAACCTCAAATATGCAGAGCAGCTGATACTCTGGCCTGGTACGAAGCCAGCTGTTGCAATGCCTCCATAAAGAGAGCCTGAAGGCTGGAGGATCGCATGAAATTGAAATGCTACCTTCCTCAGTTGTCCATCTCACTGTTGGCGAATTCAAGTTGAGTAGGGATCTAGTCCCCTAGTTAGGTGCAGCTCCAACAGTTTTGTGTCCATTCAAAAAGGTTCGGAATCTGGACGGATTTCTTCAAAACATCCTCCTGAACTCTCAAAACATCCTATTGTAGCGAATCACAATTACCCCCTCAAATCCCTTCAACACCTCATTTCGCTTGGAAAAGCGTTCCTAGTTCCTACCTCATCATTTCGCCACGAAGATGCAAGAACCTCAGACAGGTGAGTGGAAGTGGAGGCTAGATGTCAAAACCGTTCCAGTGCTTTGTCACCAAGATGTCTACGCAAAATATCATGATCTTCCATGCCAAAACCAGTTGCTATCTGCAACCCCAAGTGAACAAAACGAATCAAAACGGCATCTGCATAGTGGTTTTCGGGGCACACTTGCATGCCTCACGTACACGTCAAGAATTCCTTGCTACCGTGAAACAACTCGTAGCTTTGGCACTTCTCGCACCAGAAGACCCAGGCGTTCAAGGCAATCCTGCGGTCGGCAGATCGGTGCTGTTCCTTTGGACCACCAAACAAATTGGTTGGACCTCCTCCAGATGTAAAGTTGAAAAATGATGCAGGTGGCCATCACCCTTTCGAATTCCTGCACGAACAGGTGTATGGACAACACCTCGGATGAAGAAAATATTCGTACCTGAAAAAGAAGCAACTGCTAGTCTATGAAAGAGGTCAAAGCTGTACAGTGTTGGGTTCTGGGTGATGTCACTCTGTGATCATACTGGGCGTCTTTCATTGTCGCCAAGCAGTATGAAAAGTTCCAGAACTCACTTGGGGTGACACCACTGGAACATTTTTCGGGTCCTTCAGAAAGACTTCTCCGTGTGGCTTGGCCGGATGAAGCACGCCATCAATGTCTAGGAACAGGACATTGCACATCTGTGCATTGGTTGGACCCAGTTAAACAGAGGAGAAAACAATCAAGAGAAACTGCTCTCGCCTTTCAATACTTGAGGGTTTCATACCTAGCAATATAGAGTTTTATGAGTATATCATTGCTCTGCTACAAAAAAAAGATACGCACAAAGAGAGGAGTAGCTCTTGATTGCATCAAAAGCGATGGCGTTGATCAAAAAAGGCATTGAACATTGCACCATGAATGCCTTGATACGAGCCACCAAATGGCTACTGTAGTAGTAGAATCCAGAACATCAGGAAAATGAGGACCTCGAACCTGCAAGTGACGGCCATCTTTGCAAACCTTTATATACCAGGATGGGCACATCAATCTCTCTACATCATTCTAAATCCACAGATGCCTTCCACTACCAGCGTACCCACACAAAAGCTTTCCCACGCACAAAAAGAAGCCAAAGCACCGGTTCCACGACCAGCGTATGGAGATGCATTCAAATCCACTCTCCCACGGGGTCTCACCGAAAGCAGGGGATCACTGAGAATACTGAGATCACTCGACAGACTGAATTCGAGACCCTCATGGACGAACATCTTTCAACGCTTCGAGTTGTTGGCCTTACACTCTTGCATACTCTTGCAACATCTTGGAAACCAATCCGTTTTTGGAAGGCGATCCTTTCGCGGGATCCAACGATCGCGGGATCCTTTCCCCAACGACGCTCCCCAGTCCCGAGACGGTGGTCCCAAGACCACTCTCGTCCACGGCCACTTGGGCACCTCTGACCACGTCCATTTCGGCTCCAGCTGCAGGAGCTCCTGTGCGACCACCACATGGCAGGCCTCCACGGCGCGTCCTGTCGTCGCCTCTGTCGATCCTTATGCCTGGAGGTAAGGGCCTCTAGAGGTATTCTTGTCTAGAGGTAGAGGCCTCTAGATCCTTTTGGTTCCTTATGCCTCTAGTTGCATTGGAACGAAAACATCGGCATGGTTGCCATTGCTATGTGAATTGTTTATATAAGGCTTACAGTATTCGTTTTCAATCACCTCCTAGTGTTTGTCTGGTCTATGGCTATGGACTTCTACTGCCTTTCCCAGGTCCAAAGCAAAGAAGAGATATTCCACAGCCTTGCGTGAATTCCGATATGTCTTGGTTTCCACGGGTCAAAAGTGGTGAAAAGGTCCTTGCCTTGGGAGGCCGGCCTAGTTGGGACGCTTCGGCTCGGATTCGATGCCAGCCTTGGGAAGCTTCAGGTCCACCACCTGGTTGGCATCCGTGATGGCTGTGCTCAGTTGATCGTGAATGATCAGTAGGTCTCGTAACTCAAACGAGTATTCTTCAAAATCTAGGACTCGAAGTGATTCGGCCCTCTTATACACAAAGACTGCGAAACTGTACGGAAAAGGTCGGCAAAAAAAAGACACAAATCAGCAGTAAAGCATACCGGGATACCGCGTAACTACGGGCGAAATGTCTGATCTCCACATCCCAACAAGAGAACTGGAAGTCCTTGCGACTCTGCTGACTTGGATGATGTGGCCTACCACCTCCTGCCAAAAGTCAACCCCAGGTTTCAACCTCCCGAGTGCTTTCTCCAACCTGGACTTGGCTCAACCAAAATAGAAAGACTCCCACTGTCGAGGTTATCCCGGGTGTCTTGAAGACAGACTCTCCAAACCCAAAGAGCCCAAAGGCCTCTGCCAGGTGTTGTTGGATGAGCGATCGGGTCGCTGAGTCCTGGCCAGCTGTTCTTTCCATTCAATTTGAGTTGATTCATCCAACTTCGGAAATGAAATCGTGTGAACTCGAATCTCGTTACGCCAAATCAGGCGACGGCCGCTCATGCACAGCTAGGCAGCAAAATGTGTGACACACCTTCTACACTTGAATGTCATGTTCTTCTGCAAAAATAGACAAAACTCTTTGGACCATGGACAGCCTGAAAACCTATAAACATGAACAATGGCTCACTCTTTCTGGGCCAAAGTCATCGCAAAAAAGAAACCAGTTTCTTTGGAACTCAAAGGCTCTCTGCTGCTTTGCACTGATTCACTCTTTGAAAGATTTGGAGCCAAGACCCACATCAGCCACCTCTGAAGAAGCCAAGCTCTGTGTGTGTTGTTACTTCAAGGATTCAAGGTGCAAATTAGCGGTTCTGGCAGCTCCAGCCGAGTTTGTTTGCCTATAGACACCATGCCCCAAGTTCACCGCAAATTCTCTGGGGGTCCATTGAGCCACATCAACCACCGCGGCCTTTGCCACGATCACTGTGGGCTCACCTCAGTGAGCTGGTTGGAGGAGAGTTTATGACCAAGCTCGCTTCACTCATTGTTCCTTTTCATTGGAAGTTCGTTTGACTGGAAGTTGCTCGTACAGCCAGCATATCACGATTGGCTGTAGGAGCCGGATTGCTCTCTCCTCGTGACCTAGTGATAGCTACAGGCCATGGGCACGGCCGTCATGTGCTTGACTGCCCAACTCGTGCCCGCCATCCCTCAGATTAGCTGTCTGTTCAATGCCTGAATCACGGAGGTCATGATTCACGTGTTCGAACGCTTCGCTAAGCTTTCACGATATGGTGCCGTTTCGTCGTTCAAGGTTTGTCTGTTCTCCAACAAAATCATGTCGACCCTGGATCTGAATCCATTGTGCAAGGGACGCAACGATGTAGGCTAGCCTTGCCGTTTGAAGGCCAAGTTTCTGCCGTGAAAGTTGCTGCCCATGGCAATGATAGATAAGAATATATAAGAATCTTGGTCCCAAGGGTGTGTGCTTCTGAACATCTTACACGTACTATCTTTCCTGATATCTCCCAAGCAGTTGAACTTCAGACCCATCTCCTTCATGTGTTTTACTCTAAAAGGCTTGGCTGATGAACCACAACGCAAAAAGGAATCTCCCCAGCAGTGTCCCCGTTTTAACATCTCGAAGTATTTTCAAACAGGCTTGCGGTGCGGCGATGTGGCTAACGCCGAATGCAGTCTGCACGGATCTGTATGGGCCATGTTCATCAAATTTGCGCGATTGGGTTCGATTGGGTTCCTGGGTTTCGCTGTCAGCTTTGGGACAGTCCGAAGGTTCCGGGTGTCGTTGGATCCACTTCAGTTAAAAGGTTGCTGTCTCCCTGGCGTCGTTGAGCTCTACTGGAAGCGTGGTGCTCCATTCAGCCTCTTGAGTGCCAAGTCATTTGGTGTTCAGTTAATTCGTGGGTGCAAAACTGAGATTTGCTGATTCTCATGCAAGAATCCATCGCACGAGTCCTTCCAGGGTAGGAAAACATAGTTCAATGAGGCCTGAGGGAAAGATCGTCTTGCAATGATATTATTCCGGAAGGGTGTGCATGTTGCATCATGTTGCATGGTTCGTTTGCATGATATATATATATATATACATATACAGATTATTTAGTGTGGCAACAGATCAGGATTTATGAGGGCAATAAAAGGAGCCGACTGGACAAGCAGGATAGTCTGGAGCTCCTGGCTGTCCATCACAACGCTGCAGAAGCGTCCAGCCGGCCTGGGCAGCACTTGCCAAATAGACTGCAACAGACTGCACCTTTCATGGATTGGTTGTTGGGCTGGTTGGGTTGGCTAGTAGGGCAAGTAAACAACATGAAATCTCACGCTTTCAAACTCATCGCTCACTTGATACTGGCCAGTGCATCTTGTATTCTACAGTAGGAATCGGTATGGGTATCTACTGTAGAGTAGAGAGATGTAGGGCAACCACGCTTGAGGATCACTCATGAATCTCACGGTCAACCTGCCACTTGGGGTGGATATCAGGATCCTCACCATGACAGGGACTAAAAGTATAAAAAGCACAAAGTCGCTCGTTGCTTCCCAAAACCCCCCATGGCTATTCCAATGCCCGCCATGATCTATGCCGATCCGCGGAAGAACCTCCTACCAGGTCCTACCACTGTGGACATTCAACGGAGAAGAGAAAGTGCGTGGAATGCATCAGTACGTTGGTAAGGAATACAGAGTGACACTTGCAGTCCAAAATCTCGAACAGCTGCAATTCTCTCCTTTGTGTCACCTTCTAAACTGGCTGCTCATTCGACCGACCCAACACCTTGAAGGGTTTGAGTAAGTAAGAACACAACCAGATTGAACTCCGCAAAAGACCAAACAAGCAGTCTGAAAGCAATGTCAAATCTATTTCACCAAAAATTCACCTCAGCGGTCCGACGTCCCTGTCTGTGCAAGCTCACTCACATGGATCGATAGGGACAATGCACATGCCAGCCAGAAGCACCTCAAAGCGCATTTGGTCGGTTTACAGAAAAGATGGGACAAAAGAGTAGAGTTTTTGGCTTTCTATCTTGAATAATTAAAAGCTATCTATTGGCTACTGGTTTACAACATTTTACAACCATGTTCGTTGAGGAAAGGCCTTGAACTGTTTTGAACCAGTGAGAGTGATACAGCATGTTGCAGTATGAAGCAACAAGCAACTGGTACTGCTGCGCCTCTTGTTCGAGGACTCTTGGAGGGAAAGAAATGGTCATCAAGTGAGCTTGTCATAACTTGGTGACCAAAATGCCTTTGCCAAAGCACTAGGCCTTCACCCCTCTCTGGAAGTCCGGACGCACCTCAAAGCCAAACGGCTCCTACCAGTCTGCCTCCCAGCTCTGCTCCCAGACTCGCAGATCTAAGGGTCGTACCCCCAGCTCCACCAAGGGCAATAAGGGCCCCTCATCCACGCACACGGCCACACGACCTATAAGGGCCCATAGGGGGATTCTCGCACAAATTGACAGCTGCGCCGGTGCCTGAAATATGAATTGACAAACATGAGAACATGACAGAAAATGGCAGCCGGCAAAATAACATTTATATTGTTGAAAGTCAAAGTACTTGCCGACATCCCTTGAGAGCTGTGACCTGCAGTATGACTCCTCCTCCCCCTCCCCCCTCCTGCTCCTCCTGCTCCCTTTCCTCCACTAGCGCTACTGCAACAATATAGTATGAGTATCAATTAGACAGAGACCCCTCAACTCGACTATATATTAGAGTGGATATCTTAGGGGTTACTTTAGAACCTTCACTTCACCCGACTATATAATGTCAAGTTTCCAGATTGGTGTCCAAAGCATCCAGACAAATCTAGCATGCTGGGCCTTCACCCTCGCTGGCAGCTTTCAAATTCCTCGGATTGCTGGGGACTGACACAGCTTCCCACAACTGCCAGGGGATAAACATGTTGGCAGAAGCTCTGTGCACATGAGCAAAGTTCCATGTGGCCTATCTTGACACACTTATGCCATATGTCGTACGCCCTACCAAGAAGCGCCTTATTCAGCCAAAGGCTCCCTGCGCAGGAAATGGCTGTCTCCCACACCTTCCGGGTCCCACCACTGAGTCCCAAATGAACAAAGTGCTTCAGGCTACTTGAAGAGGAGAGCAGGGACCCCAGTCAAGATCTACGAGCAAAGCCTGTTGATGCAAGTGTTGGCTGAGATTGTAACGAAACGCGTAAACAATACGGACGACATCGTTCAAACACCAGACCTCCTTGTAGGTCCAGACTTGCTTCTGCCATCCAACTTCACCTCTGGTCAGCCTTGCAGTCGGCAAAGGCCACCACATCTGACATGCAACGGTACCATGCATGTAGAAAAATCACTGGGTAGTATGCTTTCCACAGGCAGCAGCGTAGTTGCATTGTGCTTCTTTCCAGCTTTCTTCGTCTGTGAGCCAGGCTTCAATAAATTTATGAATAATAAGACTTTAGAAAAGATGAGAAAAAAACTCCAAGTTCCACATGGCACAATGTGCCTGGGTTTTCCAACACCTTTTTCGGCAGAAGTTCAGATCGGGAAGTCAAACAAAACGAGAGATGGCACAACAGCAAAGCGGGGTAGACGGGTATAGACATGTATAGACCGGTAGACCATTTCATCAATCCATGATGGACGTCATCGAAAAAAATCAGGAAAAACATCCCCACCAAACGTCACACTTTTTTGGTTTTCGCGGAAGACTGAGGTGCCCACCACAGCAAAGCCTCGGGAGCGTCGCAGTCGAATGGGGAAACGGCAGTCTGGCCCCCATCAGCGAGTCTTTAAGTCTGGCCCCACAATGTGAATTGAATTAATGCTATAGTGAATTGATGGCTATGGCTTGAAGTATGGTGCTGTGGAGCTTGATTTGTGCCCCAGTCCATTCTCTCACTCAGACACTCTTCCGGTCACCGGTTCCAGTGAATTGGATGTGGCTTCAGTGCATTTCGTGCAACGCTTCAGGATTTCTGTCGGGGCAGCAGAGACTTTTGAGCAACAAAGGTTCGATCTCAACACTCTCATAGTCCCTTGTATGACTAATCTCAAATAAGCCCATGCAATTGGGTTGGGCAATTCCAAAGTCCTCTAGAGACTCTAGAGTATGAGCCAGGAGGCCCTTTTTGGCGGTTGCAAAAAGGTGGGATCCAACTGATCCAACGCCGGTGCGTCTCGCCCGAAACAAAAATCGTCCGAAATCAGAAGCAAAGAACCTTCGAGCCCACGTTGGAGCTGGGGCTACAGGTGTTGCTCCAAATTGAATCCTACCAACCACCCCTGGTGTCAGTCTGACACCTTCCAGAGCTCCGACCGCTTCTGCACCACGGTGGATCGCTTGGTGGTAGATCTGCTGGAGCACGGTGCCCTCAAAACGACCGTCCCCGATCAGACGGGGCCATTGTCTGAGTCCCCTATATCCACTTGAACTATCTTGAGCTAAGGAGTGGTACCATCCTGTTGCCCATCCTGGAAGACCCTCTCCACAAACAAAAAAAAGCTCAGGCCGGTTTGGGAGACGTCGCTTTCCACGTCATACAATTCAAGGGAGGGCAGGAATACTTTGCATTTTCTGAGGATTTGCAATGATTCCAACAACCATCATGGATAAAATTTATAAAGTGACAACATGTGGATCAGATTTCAAGTATTTGAAAAGAAGCGAGACTCCAGGTCCATGCTCACGTTTAACACTGAAAACATATATATATATTATATATATAATATACGCAGATGCTCGCCCAAGGTGTTGTTGATGTTCGAGGCCAAGCAGGGACGGTCACCCATCACAAGGCCGGATTCAGATGGGTCATGCCCTCTTGCCTCAAGCGAAGCCATCGGGCATGGGACTCCTCTGCAGAGTGCATTCCCGCAATGTTGGTGGCTCAAGGCCACCACATACAGCTCACACGCTTGAAGGAGGCTTGCAAGCCAGCAGATCAACTGCTAGATCTGTGCAACTTCCACGATGTGAATTTGGGTCTTTCCATCCCTGATGAGTAAAATGTATGATGTCCTTGCCGGGTAAAATGCATGATCTTGAGCCTGATTTGCAGAAAATCCCAGGTTGTTGTCCGAGACGCAGTCTGCCGAAAATGGTCCTTCTCTGCATCTAAACGTCAGACCCCGATGTCATGTGGACTAAAGCCAACAGAAGATATCAAATGCACTGTGCACCAGAAAAGGTTCACGGACAGTGCACGAGTTGACGGAAATATGCGCAGATTTATTGTTCCTATGTCTTTTGTACGAAATGTGTTGTTTTTCTTGCCAGGATGTGCATGACTCCTGTGCACGTTTACGTTTACAGTTGTGTCACTTAGGCCTATCTAGGTGGCGGAGGCACTATCTATCGGAGGTGATAATCACGCTTTCGCAGTGTGAAATGGTGTCTGCAACATTCATAATTAGATTGCCACAGCCCGTTGGTATGGTGTTCACAAAAGCTGATATCCACGCTCAAATATGCATACAATTGGAAAGTCCATGCCATGGATTTGGGGCTCTTCAATCTTGCATTCCGTGGTGAATGCCAGGTGCATCTGACCGCTGGCCTTGCTTCGGAACACACCTCGCTAGTGACTTATTGTTCCACTGAGGCCCTTCACTCTGAATTCTGTACTGACAGCACGAAGGAGTGTGACTCTAAACCAATCCAACTTTACCGAACATCTGCCGCCCTGGATCTCCTTGGCCATCTGATCCACTTGGATCCCGCCACACACCAGTCCTTCGCCATCCCTTTGCACCACACACCACATCACCCGCCTCTCTTCAAACACCGCCCGCAGCGGACGTCACCCGCAGCGACCACCGCTGCACCCGTCTTGAGCACGGCGGAATGGACGCCGCGAGCGGCGGAAGGGCCACCTTTGGGCCCATCAGTCAATGTTGATGGAGGCCTCGGGCGCCGGGGTTGAGGACAAAAGTGGGTGGTCTTCTCACAGATTTGACCTTTTGAAATGGGTGCAAGATGGTGCAAGTACATGCAAGTGTACTGCATCGAACCTCCAAAAGGTCTCAAACACGCATGCTGGTCTAGGTGCTTTCAATGGTCGAATGGTGTTTTTGTGTGTTCATGACGGCCGTCGCAGACGAACGAACATAGATGAGCTGAAGGAATGATTGAATGCATGAAAGGGAGACTGGGCTGTCACCTTCAAGTTGGCACCACTTGGGAAAGCTCGGCTGAAACTGTTTCATTGATTCTTCATTGGACCTACAGCGGGAAACAAGTCCAGGAACCCAAACACAACTTGATTCTCCAGGTTCAGGCAAAAGACTGAAACATCTCTGAAGGAAATCAATACGGTCTTGCGGGATGAGTCACCAGTGAAACCTCCCTCCCTTTATAGATCAAGCAAGAGGCAGCTGCATCGTCGAGATCCAGGTCACCTGAGCGGCTTGTCTGATCGACGTATCTGTCTTCGACACTACCAAACTGGGGTGGGTGCCTCCATGCGGAGAATTGCTCCGCTCTCTCATTGACCAACGTTGACCAAGAAATACAACCCCTCTGACGTCAGGCAACCAACAAAACCACACAAAACAACCCTATCTTCCAAAACCCATGCAGACCAGGCCGCAGGTCACCACTGCGGCGGGCGCAGGGGCCACGGCGGCCACGGCCGCTTTGGCCCTTCTCTTTCGAGCATCTCGGCCTTGCTGCTCAACAGTCGAAGAGGGGATCCACGCAATTGAGCCATAGTGTAAAGTGAAGATCAAGCAAACGTGCATACAACATCTCTGACAACCATGGTATATGTTCATGCCTCAATCACAAAAAACACCTATCTTCACACCCGGGTCGTTCCCAAATGTTCGCCGCGTCCATCAAAATGAGAACCCATTGCATGGGGGCTAACAAGGAAGATCATAACCCTAAGCAAAACGTATAAAAACATCCTGGCTTGGCTGAAAACGCACTGCCGGGTTGGGCTGATTCAAGCATGCTGCAAAGCATAATACTTCCTGGTAAATGAAAGTCGTGCTGTTCTTGAAGAGCAGAAGTATGGATGAGTGCTGATAAACGTCTAGCTGTCTTGTGATATATTCATAGCCTACGCTCCACTAATCTTTGTAAGCCGTGAAGTTAGTTGAAAAACTGTTTCCTCGTAAGTTCTGGAGAGAGTAGCCTAAGAAGGGGGGGACGAAAGCCAGCAGCCGCCAGACGAGTGTCTCTTTTTCTGGCGGGCGTCGCGGCACAAGACACATGGTCGGCAGCTTGCGAGTCGGCCGTGCCGCGGATGCGGGGGGGGCATGTAATGGTGATGGAGGGAGCAGAGAAGCAAGCCGGGCGGCTTTGGGATAAGTTTGGTATGAAAGAAGTAGTGAAAGAGAAATGCGATACGTTGTATGTTGGTGTTGGTCATCATCACAAGGCAATGGCATGTGTTTGTCACACGCAGGAAGGTATGCGTCTAGTGGAAGTTGGAAGGCGACATCAGCGTTAGGGAAGGGGAAAAACCGTCTGAGTTCGAGTGGTGGGATTCCACGCGCGCGCGCGCGCGGGCCGCGACCGCGCAGGAAGACCTTCTCCATAGTGAGCGTCGCCGCGCGCGCGCTAGTACGGCATGCGTTTGAAAAGAAGCAATTATGTGTTTGTTACATTTGGAGTGTTTGAAGTTTGCAATGCATACTGCGGCGCGTCGAAAAAAGCGGCGCTCGTTGATTTGGAAGAGTGAGCGGGCACGTCTAAGCCGGGACACGGACGTTTGATCCCGCGGCGCAGAAGGGGAGGTCCAGCGGGAGTAGCTTGGGCTAGCAAAGGAGTGAGGATTTGTGCGCCTATCGATGCACATGCCTGGACTTGAGTGAGTCATGTTCTGGCTCGATCCCAAACACAATCTTTTTCCTTTAAAGGGGCGTTTATTAAACGATCCAAACACCTTCTTTATTCTTCTCTTCCTCATCAACTCTGCGCCTTTCTCACTCAGAGGCCTTGACTGTGGCACCTGCGTGTGTAGATCTTTGGGCCGTGGACCCAGGCTGACTGGATTCGGACAGGGCTGTCAGCAAAAAGGCGACGTCATGAGTCAGTAGTATATAGAATTAATCTATCGAGCAGAGATATCTCTCTATCTCTATCTCTATCTATCCATCTGTCTGTCTGTCTATCTATCTACCTATCTGCACCGGCAAGCCGGAAAAACGTTCGTTCGGTGCGTGTGGGTGCCGTGAGAAGGGTCCACTCGACCGAGGACATGTTGCAAGTATAGTTTTTGCTAGGGGGCAGGAGCCCTTTGCGGATATGTAGTCAACCTCGCAGGCCTCCCCACCGAAACTCAATCCAAATTCAGGCACTTTCGGCTCTCTATGGACTTCGCAAGTTACGGGTTGTCCTGGGAACTCGTATCCTACATGCGGCTGCGGTCTGCTCTGTACGTGGGTCCCTGTCTCCGCTCGACTGCTCAATGCCCATTGTCCAAGTAGCCTCCAAAGCCCTTCATGATGCTAATGATGCACTACTCGGCATCCATTGCATCACTCGCATCACCAGACCACATTTTCTCTGCTTTTCTGACCCTCGCTTTGGAGCGCTCTCCCCCACCAAGCTCTGGGTTCACCCTCTCAAAAGGTCCCTCTCAACGACCAACCCCCCCCACACCCCCTTGACTCACTTCGTTCCCTCTAAAACTTCAAGCCTAGCCTATCGGCCGGCTTTTGTAATTTTGTATACATAGTTCATTACATTAATAGTTATATAATATATATATATATAATGTTAATTAATGCAATCCTCTTTCATCGGGAAAAGGCGCAATGCTGAGCGTCACACGTTCCTTGGCCGTTGTTTCCTGGTCCAGGTCAACGATGCTCTCATTGGCCTTGCGGCGCCCCTTGGGGCATCGCTCATGGCCGTAATCGAACCCGGAAGCAAGTGCACCACTTGCCACACATCAGTGGGAGAAAACTCTATGCCACACATTAGTGGGAGAAGATCTATGATGCGTGTTTTTAGCTTGGCCACCAGCAACTTCTACAGCGCACATTTGGTGCCGTGGCTTACTCTTGTAGCCCTTCTCGCCACCCTAGAAGCAACCGGTTGAAAGACCTTTCGATGTCACGACTCAATTAGCTCAAGAACGTGTTCCAACCATCCAAAGGATGGAGTACATCTCAAGGCCACGTCTGGTCAATGATGTTGCGTGGGCGTATGTTTCCACAAGCAAAGAGCAGCAATAGATTCGCACAGCACCCTAACATCAAAGCTGACATCCCAGAGGCCCCTCCGAGAACTGGCTATGTGGTTGTGTGATTCTATGTGTGTTTAGCTGAACCTAAAGTCTCAACTCAGAAGGGGCATGAAGTGTGGATCCTTCACACGCCCACCAATCTCTTCGGAGCCCACCTTTCTCTTTTCGGCCGGCTTGGCCACATCCTGACACATCCGGCTTCATAGACAAAAGCGAAAGAGTTTATCTACGCCGCTGAAAGGCCTGAAATCATTGCAACCAAACTGAAAGTCTAAGCACCACCAATCACTGGAAAGCGTGGCATGAATGGCCGACAACAACGATGAATCAGACCGACCGACAGTCTTTCGACATGTCCAAGCTGCAAGGGTACTTTCCATCAGAGTATCTGCGGCCCGCTCTTTCTCGGGGTCGCCATCCAGTATGTATGGACTCACACATTTGTAGCTTAGCTTCAGGTAGCACACCGACTGTATTCCACGTCAGAATCAGAAGCCGATTGATGAAAGTACGCATCCCGATGTGAGAAGAACTTCCAGGAACCATGTCACTCAGCCACAAAGGCTCGTGCCAGTACTCTTCACTTGTCACATCAGCTACAGTACCACATGTCACACTTCTGGATGTGCGACTCGTAGCAAATAGAAACGGGGGCACTGGTGTTCTCACTTGATGCGTGCACGGTACGGTCAAGGTCGGTGAGTCTTCAACTGGTATGGGAGACACCATGCGAAACCACGGGAAACCGATCGAAAAAAGGCGGGAAGCCAGAGAGTTTTCGTGCGTGTTGACGACCAAGAGTCGAGGCGGCAAAACAAGCAACCCTACAAGCCTTGCCTATCATTTTCCCTTAACCACGACAAAAAATATCTCAACATATCTCAACCCCGTTTTAACCGTTTTAACCTGTGGGGTAGGATTCAGCAGCCAGCAGCTCACTGCCAGCCCACTGCATTCGCCATATTTGGGGCGGGGTGTTTGGCTGGAATGATTTTCCAAGTCTGGGTGTCCAAAATAACCTGGCAAACATACAGGGCAATATCCAAGTCGCTGCTGCTGCTGCTGGGGCTAAAGCTGGCTTAGGGTACGCTGGTGTCATGATGATCATGATGAAGTTCTTGATCTCATGGTCAAGTACAAGTCTCCAAAGGGTCGCGTTTATTAAGTCTATTCTACCAGTACTTCACTCGGTCGCTGTCCACGAAAGGAGTCGCCTCGACCTGGCAGGAAAGATCCACCTCCATGTCGATGTCCTACGTGGTCGATGGTGTCTGTCAAAGGTCCAACCTGGTGCCCTGGCACCTCGGTGCACTTGTTCTCTTCCCACCAAAGGTCAACCGATCAAGCACCCGGCTGGGAGAAACCGGAGAAATCGTCTCCCTCAACCAAGACTTCTTTAAATGCAGCCATTTGAGGCTGGTTGGCTTGTGTCAAGTTCCAAAATCTGAAGAATAAGAGACTGCAAAGCAACGTTCACCAAGCTTCCAGGTGCCATGGCTTCATGTTACCACGCTTCCACAATGGAAGCATAAGTATGGGAAACAACGGGCGGTCTCCTCCGCATGGCCATTTTCCCTAGGAGGCTTCGCTGCCTCACGGACTCAAGCATGTCAATGGGCTGGTTGAGTCATTGAGTGCACTATGAGTACAGTATCACAAAATCGTGCGCTGGCCGAATGCTTCCTGTTGGGCACATAATAATTAAGGCATATGCCGAGTTCCTCCAAGCAACAACCATCTCACATTTTCTTGGCCTGGATCCTTGACACCTGTAAATGCTGAGGATTGCGTCTGTCGGAGAAGGCCTTCCAACCATTTCAAACACGCAATGCATGCGACATCAAGTCTATTTTCCCCTCCACGTGTTGCCCTATGGCTGAAACACTTTCATGGTTGCTGGTTGAGTCTGACAATAGATGTCCGACGATCCCCAGCCAGAGTTCATGGTTCCTCAGATCGCCTCCACTGGCTTATTGGGCTCCCCCTTGTCATGCATGTGTTTCCCTTGGGCATCTGAGGTAGATCAAGTAGATTGGATGACCAAGAATGGGCAAGTTTCAAGAATTTTTGAGCTGCAACAATCATAATGGTGCCTGGTCTGTCCAATTCGTACACAAAAAGTCAACCCAATATTTGCCATCTAAAGGATGTGTTTGTATAGTCGGCGTCTCATTCGCACAAGAGCCCACCCGCGGCAAGTTGCACGATAATCTGCAGGAAGTCCAAGTTTCATTAACATAATTTAACATCAATCACAACGAGCGAGGCTGAAACTAATGCCAAATCAAACCACGACAAAGGCTCCTTGCATCTTCCGGCTTTGAACTTGAACATTTGGATTACCACATGTTCGGAAAGAACATTGGGTCTTTGCCCTCTATCACAACATGGTGAATGGTGGAATCTACTGTCTGAAGCGGACACGAAAGGACATGGAGACCTCATCTTTCGGAGGGGGTGCGAAGTCTTTTGGGACATCTCACTACATTAAATTAATCAAGATATAATATGTGTTTGCGCCTGAAAACAAGACCAACACAACCTGGTGTTTGGTTTATGTGTCCCTTAGCGATTCCCACACGTTGCGACAAAAGAACGACAGCGGCCAGCGGCCTCAGCGGCCTTGGTGGAGACTTGAACCTGGTGGAGACTCAAATCGGTGAAAGCAAACCTCAAAAAAGACAATGAAGCAACATGAAGCAACCATCTTCCAATGCTATCTGGCTCTCAACTCAGGAGAAGTTTGCACAAATTGCCGCTACATGATGCTGGACAAAAGCATGAAAAAGACATAAAAAGACCCGAAGCAGCTTCGAGCATCTTATTTGTCTTTTCACGGATATTCGCAGAGGGTTGCAGAGCATCAGATTCACTTAGGGCAAGGCAAAAAACCTGGTGTCGTACCAATAGATTTCATGACTATGGTCCTCAATTCATGAGCTAATCCTTGATAAAGAAACAGGACTCAGCTTTACCTTCGCTTGCAAATGGGGTCCCTGAATATCGCATTGCGCCCTGAACGAATGTGCGACAGATTACAATGTTACAATGTTCTTTGATAGTATGAGATAGTATGA